GCCGTAGAAACGGGTTCTATCCTCCGAAAATACGCGCTCTCTCGACAAATGAAAAAACAGCTGCGATGACAATTAAAAAGAGGAATATTCAAGAACTCACAAATCCAAATGTGCAGCACACACTGAGAAAGAAACATGATAGAAGGATTAGGATCCTTACACAGGCCGAAATCAGTGATCTTTATGTGACCGTCCTTATCCAACATCAGGTTTTCCAGCTGGAATAACACACACCGATCACAGACACATCTTACGGTCAGCTGATAATGGCAAAAATTGAGGTTCATAGGATGAAAATGTTGATATTAGTCTGTGTGTTCTGTTCAGTGTTCACCTTTAGGTCACGGTAAACAATCTTCGCAGAGTGCAAGTAATCCAACGCAGAAACGATCTCAGCGCCGTAGAAACGGGTTCTATCCTCCGAAAATACGCGCTCTCTCGACAAATGAAAAAACAGCTGCGATGACAATTAAAAAGAGGAATATTCAAGAACTCACAAATCCAAATGTGCAGCACACACTGAGAAAGAAACATGATAGAAGGATTAGGAAGTTGGAAGGAAATTTTAAAGAAAGAAAAATCTAAAGATGGAAAGAAAAAGTGTGAAAATGTTTTAAATGAAGTTTGAAATATGGAGAGAAGGGTTAACACAACAGTTTGGAAAAGAACGTTTGAAAGGTGGAAAGAAATTTAAGTACAAAGGTTAGAGAAATTTCTAAATAAGGTTGAAATGAGAGTTCAAAAGAAGGTTAGAAGATCAAAAGGACATTTCACAAGTTTCAAAATGTTTGTAAGAGAAGTTGTAAAAATGTGTGCATTTCAAAAATGTCCAGAAAGAAATTCTTAGGATGTTGGAAGGAAATTTTAAAGAAAGAAAAATCTAAAGATGGAAAGAAAAAGTGTGAAAATGTTTTAAATGAAGTTTGAAATATGGAGAGAAGGGTTAACACAACAGTTTGGAAAAGAACGTTTGAAAGGTGGAAAGAAATTTAAGTACAAAGGTTAGAGAAATTTCTAAATAAGGTTGAAATGAGAGTTCAAAAGAAGGTTAGAAGATCAAAAGGACATTTCACAAGTTTCAATATGTTTGTAAGAGAAGTTGTAAAAATGTGTGCATTTCGAAAATGTCCAGAAAGAAATTCAAAATTTGGAAAGACAGTCTGAAAGAAATTTTTGAAAGCTCGAAGGAAATTTTAGAAAAGTTAGAAAGTTAAATTTAAAAGTTTAAATAGTAAGTTTAAAAGAAGGTTAGAATGTTGGAGGGAAATTTTGGAGTTTGAAAATGTTCGGAAGAAAAAAAAGAAAATTCTAAATTTGAAAAAGTAATTTGTAAATTTGAAATGGTTTGCAAATTTGTTCAATATTTCGAAAAAAGGTTTGAAAGAAAGACCAAAAAAGTAGGGGTGTCTTCTGTAAATCAGGGGAAAATGTATGATATTTATTTTTTGCTCAGAAAAACAAAAACAAAAATACAATTACATTAAACAGAAAACTTTTTTAATTTTTCTTTTTTTGGAAAAACAATTTAAAGCAGCATTGTTTTTATGCTTAAATCTTTTTTCGTCTTTGACCCATGAGCATACGTGATACACTTGTTTCTTTCTTATATTTGTTTATTTCTTGCATCGGCTCTTATTTATAACAAAGATAAAATAAAAAATAGCCATATTGTGATTATTATTCTAGTAACGACTATTAATAAAAGAAGTGGGGGAAAAGATGTTCCAAGGTGATTTTGTTTTGGAACCTTCAGAAAACTTTAAATCAGTTTTTCTCTAAATTGACTTTGCTGACTCAACGACTTCAAGCAGGTGTAGCTCAGTCATTTTTCGTCCAATTCAGAAATTAAAATAAAATAAAAATAACCGATTTTTTAATTATCATTATTATTATTTATTCACTTTTTAACTCCATGCCAGCATCAAGGCTATTTTCATGGTGATCTCTGAATAAATTATATAAGGTATACAATTAACAAAAGGTTCTAAAAGACATTTCAAATCTACACTAGACAAATTTTAAAATACATTCAGGTGATACATTTTGAAATAAATCAGTTAAGCACCTCTGAATAAAACCGTTGTCTATTTACATTAAAAACAGTACAATCCAATAAAATATGCTTACTCGTTTTTGAAAGTTTGCTCATTGTTACTAATTTTTCCAGCACGGGTCCTATTTAGATTTTTACTAAAGCTGCTAGTGCATGTTAAACATAATTTGATTTGGGTGTGTGGTACCTCTCGTCAGGCGTGTCCACGTGAAACGTGCGCTCGATCACAGTGGTCCACTGCAGACACCTGATGATGAAGGTGTTGGGCTTCGGTCTCTCCGTCTTCATCAGCTGACACTCTGAGCAATGAGGAGGAGGATGCACGTTGAATAATGTAATTCATGCATGTGCTATAAAGATGTCATCATCTCAAATTACAGCGGCAGACTCGTGTTGATGACGTCAGCACGTGACGCTCTAATAAAATCAGTTCGAATGAAGTGAGTCATGGATCTGGAGAACAGTAAAACTGATCTGATGGGTTTACCAAGAACACCACACACTGATATCATACATTTAAAAAGCGCAGGGCAAATAAACTAAAACATTTAAATAAATAATTTATCTCAAAACACTGGAAGAAAATCTTGAGGTTGATCACTCGTTATTTATTTTATTCTGACAGAAAACATACACTAGAAGTAAATATTTTCCTTGATTTTTCATATATTCCCCCCCCCACAGTATTAATGAGTCATTATAAAGCAGTGTTATTTTAGTATCACTGAGATACTATGAAAGTTTTGAATTCGTTTTTTTTTAGCTATTAAATTTGAGTAATTTTTGTGTTTTTGACATTTTTATTAGTTTTTGTTTTTTATGTTTACATATTTTTATACATTTTTATTTATCAGTTCAAATTTTAGTACATAATGTTAAACTAAATGAAAATGAGAACGTTCTTGTGGCAAACAGCTTAAATACGTTTCATTTTGGTTCAAGTTTATTTAATTTTTCATGCATTTTTTCATTTTGGATTAATTTTATTCCATTTATTTTATGTGAAATTTATTTTATTTCACTTTAATTGATTATGGTTTTATTTAGTTAACTTAAGTCCTTGTATTTTAAGTTTATTTTATTTTTCATGCATTTTTTTCATCTTGGTTTAGTTTTATTCAATTTATTTTTTGTGAAATTTATTTTAATTTTACTTTTTTTTTATAGCTTTATTTAGTTACTGTATTTTAATTTTATTTAACTTTTCATGTATTTTTTCCATCTTGGTTTAGTTTTATTCAATTTCTTTTTTGTGTTATTTTGTACTTCATTTTTTATGGTTTTATTTGCAGTTAACTACAATAACCCTGTTTAAAATGAATGAAAGAGACTCACTGGCCACAGAGAAGTTGTTGAGTGGATAAGCCAGATCTGCATCTTGCGGCTTCTCTTTATATCCAATAAACGACCCATCCATCTTTAACAGGAAGTACCGCGGTCTCCAGTTCTTAATGTATTCACCTGCAAAATCAATAAAACCCCCACACGATCAAGCACACAGAAAAACACTAACACACGCAATACTCACAGACACAGCAGCGTACCATACACAACAGTATTAATGAGTCATTAAGCAGTGTTGTTTTAGTATCACTGAGATACTATGAAAGTTTTGAATTAGTTTTTTTTTTTTAGCTATTAAATTTGAGTAATTTTTGTGTTTTTGACATTTTTATTAGTTTTTGTTTTTTATGTTTACATATTTTTATACATTTTTATTTATCAGTTCAAATTTTAGTACATAATGTTAAACTAAATGAAAATGAGAACGTTCTTGTGGCAAACTGCTTAAATACGTTTAATTTTGGTTCAAGTTTATTTAATTTTTCATGCATTTTTTCATTTTGGATTAATTTTATTCCATTTATTTTATGTGAAATTTATTTTATTTCACTTTAATTGATTATGGTTTTATTTAGTTCACTTAAGTCCTTGTATTTTAAGTTTATTTTATTTTTCATGCATTTTTTTCATCTTGGTTTAGTTTTATTCAATTTATTTTTTGTGAAATTTATTTTAATTTTACTTTTTTTTTATAGCTTTATTTAGTTACTGTATTTTAATTTTATTTAACTTTTCATGTATTTTTTCCATCTTGGTTTAGTTTTATTCAATTTCTTTTTTGTGTTATTTTGTACTTCATTTTTTATGGTTTTATTTGCAGTTAACTACAATAACCCTGTTTAAAATGAATGAAAGAGACTCACTGGCCACAGAGAAGTTGTTGAGTGGATAAGCCAGATCTGCATCTTGCGGCTTCTCTTTATATCCAATAAACGACCCATCCATCTTTAACAGGAAGTACCGCGGTCTCCAGTTCTTAATGTATTCACCTGCAAAATCAATAAAACCCCCACACGATCAAGCACACAGAAAAACACTAACACACGCAATACTCACAGACACAGCAGCGTACCATAATCAACTAATGAAAACACTAGAGCCCGATCGATATGGGTTTTTTGGGGTCGATACCGATATTAGGGAGTGTAGCGAATCAGCTCATGGGAAATATGAATAATTAACCATAACTCTATGTACCACCATATAATATCCACGCTTGTTTCGATCATAAGAAGGCGAATTCATAGATACTAGACATGAAATAGTTACTTATATGAATGTGTGGTTTATCGTAAGCACGGATAAAAATAGTCTATAATACAACAGATTAAATACAACACAGCAATAATATACACACTGGCCTGAAGAAAATGGGTGTTCATTCAAAGAAGGTTTTCCTATGAATTAATTAGTAGAAAAGTCCATTTCTCCTGTGCATTTGTGTCCCTTTGTTTCTGGAGAAAGCAGAATGAGAGCCGGCTCGCATTCCACAAGGTTGTAAATGTATCGGGTTACCATGAAACCAGGGTCTTGTTCGGCGTCCTGGGGTGTTACAAAGTATTTGTGAAATCTAGCTAACAAAATATATATTGTGTGTTGGAGTGTTCCAGACGCTACAGGAGTAAAAAAAAAAGGCCGATATTTTTTGTGCATATTATAGCACAGTACCAGTCAAAAGTTTGGACACTTTCCCATTCGTGTGTCGCCCCGAACGATCAAGCGATCCCAGGCGATCGTTCGAGAGGGGTCCTCGACGAGCTGAAGGGATCCCCCGAATTTGGTGCAGATTCGCCGCGCTGTTACGGAGATATGGCCGTTCAAAGTTTCAGCGTTTCATCCAGGTCGCCAGTAGCAAACGATAGCGCGCGCTCTGCTGGACAAACTAAGTAATTACACCATTTCAAGCATTTTATCTGCGTTATATGTTCTGTAAAAAAAAAAATCATATCGGCGGCATATTCGCCGAGACCTATATATCGGCAACAGTCTCATATCGGCCGATAATATCGGTAAAACGATATATCGGTCGGGCTCTAGAAAACACACTCATTAATACATCAATATTTCAGTGCTGTTGTTTCTCACCTCTCTTCTGCACCCATCCCTCTTTCACTACGTTCTGATCGTTCATGTTGGATCCGAGGTCAGAGTTCAAGGGTCAGTCCAGTGCTCGACTTCCTCTCTCGCTCTCCCTTACGGCCGTCTCGCTCTGCTCTCCTGTTCTCTCACACTCTTCCTCTCACTATCTCTGCCACGTTGTGATGTAACGTCTCAGCCTCCTCCTTCACTTTCTCTCTCCCGACCCTTCAGACACTCCAGTGGTGACTCAGCCTGCAAGGAAACAACAAAGGAGAGAAAACACACACACACACACATGGGTCATTCTCTTCCGCTTCTCCCCCTCTCCCACACAAACACTTCCATGAGAAATAAAGTCATTGTTAGGAGCAGGGAAACATTTGCCGCCCCTTCCCGTGGCCTTCTCTTCCTCTCTCACACTGGATGCTGAAGCTATGCATGACTCTAAACACAGCCCTGTTTCTGTCTACATCTTCTCTGGATTATGAGGCTTTAGAACCTTGGAATTCATCTTAGAACCACATAATCAAACGCAGAATCTTAGAACCAGCTCAGAATCAACCTTGATATACTACAACCGATCAAACAACCCGATGGCATTAGAATCAACACTGGAACCTCAGAATCAATCTTAGAAGCTCTTCAAATTTTGAATTTGATAAGAAAACATCCAGTAGAACCCCTTAATAAATCAACTCTTGGAATCATCTCAGTATAAACTCTTAAAAAGTACTAAAATAAAAATTAGAATCCTATCTAAAATTAGAATTTTACAGTAACTTTAAAAACAAATGACTCACTCTTAGAATCTTACATCTTTAGAATAATATCATTTTAAATGTATACCCTGGAAATCAACCTGACAGTTATCTTAAAATAAAATTGTTGTCATTTTTTGCCTAGTATCATTTTAGAATTGATTTAAAATCAACCTTAAACTCTCACAAATCACCTTTACAACCTTAGAACCAATCTTGGATTTCTACAATCAATCTTAGAAGAACCTAAAACAACATAAGAGTCTAAAATGTGTCTTAAAACCATCTGAGAATGAACCTAAGAAATCAGAATTTTACAAGGAATCTTAGAACCCTATGAACAATAGAATATTTTAATCTTAGAACCATCTCAGAATCAACTGCTGAACCCTGGACGATTAAATTAATATTAGAACACTGGGAAAAAACAAACAAAAAACCATAGAATCAAATTAGAATTAGAATTTTACAAAAAGTAGACCTCACTTTCAGTCAAGATTCATCTTAGAATGAAAACTATACTACGAATCATCTTAGAATCTTACATCCTTGGAATCAAACATTTCACTTCATTACCTCAGAACTTCCAAATCAACCTTGCAATGATCTTAAAATCACTTAAAATATTAGACCTTTATCATTTTTTTTTAATTTAGCATCATCTTGGAATCAAACATGATTCCATGACAACAAAATGGCTTCCTGCACATTGATTACACCACACAGATTTTGTTTTTATTAAACATTAATAACATTTTAAAACAAAATTGCTTCTTTTTAAAGAAATTACAATAAAATATTATAACAAAATAAGCTTTTTTTCTATTGCTTTTTTCACAGTTTCACCACAAAGACCTTTTTGACTTCAAATCAAGAAAACATCAAAATGATTTTAAATTCCGAAATTCAAAACATATTCTTTACCAAATAGGCTCATTTTGATACACGTCGAATAAAACAGATGCATAATTCCCGTCGTTAGAATAAACGAGATGTCTAAACAACAGAAGCCACCCAAACCAATGTCAACAAAAACAATGGCGGACACGGTTGTGCATCACACACACACACACACACACACACACACACACACACACACACACACACACACTCACTCACTCGGATGTGACAGCAATTAACATGACAAATCACAATAACCACAATGAAGCAGCGGCTTTTGTGTCATATTGAGCTGCTGTTATATAATCCATCGCCATCATAATAAATCCATACAGCGGACTGACAGCGCGCCACGAACAAGCACAAGCGTGCCAATTAACATTAATGAATGTTTGTTCAAAAACACGGCTGTGATAACAACACAAACACACATGCATTTAGACCAGAGGATGTGAATTGCACGCGCTCTTGTTTTCTATTTGTCCGAAATGCGTAAAATGGTGGACGCGCATCAATAATACCACGCAGGACGTGGTTTGAATGTGTTTATAGTGTAAATTTCTATTAAAATAGCGCTCGATGTGTAAATAAGCGCTTGTTATGCCCAGCAGCATCACGGGCAAGGCCGAGGAGCATCCCCACCCGGCGGCGGCCAGTGATGCTCCAGCGCGGATGCTCGGCCTTGCCCGTGATGCTGCTCGCTGATGGAGGAAACATAAACAACGCGAAGCACGCAGTACGTTACCTGGCAGACGCTCCGCCAGACGGTGGGATCGGATCCACGCCAGCCCGGTGTGAGACAAACCCAAACCCGCACGCTGCTGCTGCTGCTGCTGCCGCCGCCGCCGCCGGTCGGTCATGAGGAGCACGGAGGCACGCGCGCCCGTGATGTGGCCATCATCTCCGTTACCCCGGTGAACCGAATGACCCTGGATGAATGATGGCGTAACCCGATGCAGAAAGCGCGGTGACGGCGCACCCCGTCTCCAGCACGCGAATTTCCCGAAGCCTACTACGGCGAAGGCCTGCTTCTTAATTTTAATGAGGCAAGCGTCGGCATTGGAAGGTCAGCGGGAGACGTTAGTGGGAGCTCATTCATATTCATGAGATAAACCTTACGCGTTTTTTAAAATTCAGATTGAATAACTAAGCTTTCCATTGATGTATGGTTAGGATTGGACAACATTTGGCCGAGATACAACTGTTTGAAAATCTGGAATCTGAGGGTGCAAAAAAAAAAAAAAAACTGAGAAAATCGTCTTTAAAGGTGGGGTAAGCGATTTCTGGGAGCCAATGTTGACATTTGAAATCACCAAAACAAACACGCCCCTACCCCAAAAGGGTCTCGCTCCTATTTTGATAGCTCCGCCCCACACATACGTACGGTTCTGTGAAACAAAGCAAAACCAATGTTACACCGTGTCTACACCGGACGCGAGTGGCGCGGCGCGACAAAATACTATAGAACTCATAATCTGTGATGCTGTCTACACCAGAGATATACATATCTATGGTCTACACTAGATGCGGCGCGGCACGACACGACAAATCCCCGACTGCTGCGCTGTATTCATGACGTATTGACAAATTTCAAATGATTTTAAAAGGTTGTTTTGTTGCGTCCAGTGTACTAGACAGAATTTAGCTGTTGCGGCGCAGACACAGTGTTACTCACCTATCGAGAAGAAACAAAGCAGCCTCGGCGTCCGATCGCAGGCCTCCGCTCCTTGAGTTCTCTCCAGCGCTGGAAAGCTGATTCGATATTTACACGGGTCCTACTTCTTGCCTTAAGCCT